CAGTCCAAATAGGATATTCTGGAGATGGAGGGGGGTATATTTAGGAAGTCAAGGGGAACAGTAGCAAAAAACTCAAATTTTATTCACGTGTAAATTGTTTTGGAATAACTTCAACTTTATTCAAAATTGCCTGTGCAAACATGATATTTGGAGTTCTGCTGGTCCATGCATGTTTAGTAAATGAAGTGGAATTATTGTAAAGAATGATAATATTCATGTTACATTAATCTGATATACTAAACAGTTGTTAAGTATAAGGGTGCTATTTCAATAGCCTTGCTTGTTTATACTCACTTGTCATATTCTCATAGGAATAATATTTGATAATGATTGAAACATTCAGGATGTTTTTTTTTTGTTTATTTCATTGAAAGATTCTATATTATCAGGCTAGAATTAGGAGTTGGGAACCTGAACATGTTGAATTTTGCAGTGTTATTGGTTAACATGAATACATCACGACAGATAAATCCTGGTACAGCAGTAGAAGAATAAGGCATACATTCATGTATTTAGGTCAACAAAACATGCTCATTTCCGGACAAATCCTTATCTCAGTCAAAAGAAAAACAGTGGTGTTTTTTTTTTTTTCTACAAAACATCCTTCATCTTGTCTTACACATCCAGAATCAGTGTCACTTGTTTGCAGTAAAAGGTTATTTACTATAGGAAAAGGTATAAAAATTGCAAATATTTAATTAATTTTAATTTGAACTTACAGTGTATCACTAACATAATAACTTGAATTGGAGTTATCCAAGATAGCCCTAAGTTTCATCACTTAATTAGCTTAAAACCAGTCAAGGTGTTACAGAATTTGGAAGAGAGTAGGGTAAGAAAAAAAATAATGGCAGATTACGGAGACATAAGTCAGTACAGTGTGGCAATGAATAAAAGCTGACGGACCACGTCTACAGACAATTTTCTGGTTGTTTTATCTGAAGTTCTGTGAAATTACAGTCTGTTGCACAATATTATGAATTTACCATGTTGTGAGTGTCACTTTTTCATTGCTTTCTTAGAAGATGTTCCTGACGCATAGAGTTCCACCCTTATGGCTAATAAGTTAATCCCCACTGTGTGCGGTTTCTCACATGATTTTTAGTCTCGTATGAAGGAAGACCTTGTTAGCGCACAGTAAGTAGGATGCGATGTGTCTCTGCATGCAGAGCACCGTACAGTTTTGTGATTCCAGTAGGCTGAGCTTTGGGTATTTCTTGACTTTTGTAGAAAAGTCTGCCAGAACCATGGATCAATACAATAATCAGTGCTATAGATTTAATGGGTTATGTGTCCTCATGTCCATAATGGTTAATGGTGTTTGTAGTACAAGAGAGGGGGCAAAAGGGGGGGGGTACACAGATATTACTTTTTGCAAGACCTTGACAGGAAAAGCTCCATAGTTTTGTTAAATTATTTATTAAAAGATACTAAATAAGTACTTGAATTCTTCTAAATGCATATACATGTTAATTCTAATATTGCTCTGCATTAATTTGAGGTCAAATAAGTGCTTAGGGAACATTTTCTATCAGACTGTGATGTACTCTTCCAATATCTTTAAAAAAATATAGGCTGATATGTAGTTAAGAGTGTTTAAGAGGAAGTTATCTGTCTCTTTGATGACAGGCACTTTTCACAGCTACACTTAATCCAACATATAGGATAATGAATGTTGTTTTTTACACAGTGAGTGCTGTTGCCTTGGTTGCATTAATACATAGAATGAATATTGCCTCTTTTTTCTTTCCATTTCTCAATTTTTTTTTCAATCACACAAGAAGCAAGATCTGCTATAGTTAATGTAGCTGGTGAATTTATTGGCCTTTGGTGTGGTTTGGTTTGTGTAACATATTGACTTTTGTTGAGGAGCAGATTTGTCTGGAAATTTTGCCTTGTCACAGATAAACTGTAATCCTATACACTGGAAATGGTCTTTTTAATTAAAATGTGATTCAAGTAAGTTTTCTGCAGCCAAAGGACTTTTCTAGTGTAATTATAAAACACATGCGGTTCATAACCCTGACACCATAGTACTATCAACAGGTGTGTGTAAGTGGAAAAGGTACTTTTACAAATAGGGCCTGGATATATATATGTTTTTTTAAACCAGCCCATGCTGCTGATCTTATAGTATGCAAGTTATACTATTTTTGCTTTTAAATTAGACTGGTTTAACTTAAACATGTCTATTGTTTAAAGTAAGACCAATTTTGAATGTTCCTCTTTTTTTTCTGATGTGGTTTTTGATTGTGATAGTGTGTGTATGCCTTTTTTCCAGTCACTCTGGATTTAATGATGAGATAAAATTCCTTTTCTGATTCACATGAAGATCCCTTGATATTGTAACTTCATTCCCAAAATGTTTAGAAGAAAAGTAGAAAACCTAGAGATAATTTGATTGCTTTAACTACCAAGAACAGGACTTCCTGGCATGTAGATTAGATTTCATGGCCATGCCATTAGAAGGTCTTCCACAACATTTGCTGACAGTGAAGTACTTGTAATTGGAAGGTTTTTACTGATCTGTGCTCATCACAAGGTGGGCACCCTGATTTTCTGGGAAAGACAGAGGCATGTTGATAGTAATGTGGTCAGTTTCCAGACTTTTTGAACTCAGGGTAAAGATTAGAAAAAGATTCCATGAACACTGACCTTTTTACCTCTGACATTTGGCACTGCAGGGAGTCGGGTAACAGAGACCTTTGAAACCCTTGTACTTACATGAAAATCCAGATCAGGAGTGTATGTGAATAGGTTCATGTATGGCTTTTTCATAAACACATAACTAATGGAATATACGTATATGCCAGCAATTTAGGTCGTCAGTCTAAAGTTTGAGCTTGGAGAAATGTTGTTTAAGGGGAGGCAAGAGACTTTTCAACAATAATAAGTTTTTGCACACTGGAACTATGTACTGATGCTAATTGCTTAACAGTTCATATTTTCTGATAACAGTGATAAATTCTTCTGGATATATCTGGAAGTCCAGATACTTGGGTGCTGTATTTTATGCCTGCTGCCCCCCTCCCCCATACCCAGCATATAGAGCTCAGCACCTTTGGAACTTTCTTTTTCAGGATTTTTTTCTCAAAAGCCACTTTCATCTCTAAAATGGTATTCATACATATTCAAGTCAGAACTAAAGCAAACACATCTTTGATACAAACAGATACAAATCCTAAAAGTCCATTATCAGATCATTTGTCATTTTAGCAATAATAGTGAGTAATGAATCTATGGTAATCACCCAATCTTTTCAATGGGGAAAATTGTGAATTTTATAGACAATGTATTTTTAAAGTCGTAATCAAATTCTTAAAATTAGAGCTTTTGAGTGGTAGCAACAAAATGAAAAAGCAAACTACTCTATAGCTCAATTCTACGCAATAAAAAGCACCACAAATGCCATACAGAAATTTAATTTTTGTGACTATAAAATTCTGTATCTGAAAGTTTGATAATTTTTGCCCAAAGATCAAGAGAGGATGGAGTCATTACCATATTTCACATAAATTTCTTCATGCACATTAAACTCTTTATGATTTAACCTTTGATAGTATGACAACTGGTGAACAAATTCAATATAATTTACATATGCCACAAGCTTATTCAGACTGAAGTAATAAATGCGAATTAAGCTGGTCGTAACCTTTTAGGTAAGCTCAGATACATTTCTGAATATTCACTTGTTGTGTTAAAGGTTTTTATAGTTGCTAACGTGAGGAAGAAATTATTTGCTCAGTTTAATAATTGGTTGGTGTTGGTGGTGAGAGTGGGAGTCACCCTGTGTTGCTTGAGCAGGAACACCTTGATGACAGAGCGGCGCGATAAATTGAGAAAATACTAAGATAGATACTTGAGCGAGGTTAGTAATAATTGAAGGTGGGATAGATGAAGATGCCATTCTAAACTAGGAAACATTGTGCTATATATCTAGTTTCTAATATGTGCAGTAGCAAGAATACTATAGACAGTACAGACATTTTATGATACGAGCGTACTTACATATGCCACATTTGGTATTTGGAATGATGTCTTTACATCTCCCATTTGTGTGGCATATTATAACTAGTGTCTGGTGAAACAGACTTATTTATACAGCTGCTTAAATATAAGTTAAATGATTGTCTCTATCGTTTTAGAATGGAATATATACACAGTCAGTCTCTCTCTCACATACACACATTTATGCAAGCACACACACACACACACACACACACACACACACACACACACGAAGTAATATCCAAAAAAGTCAAGCAACATGAAGTAATAATTTCCCCTCAGAAAATGTTTTGTTGAGTAATACTTAAAATGTGAATCAAAACGTTTGAAAATTTACTTGGCAAATGTTAGAAAGTATATTGTTATTAGTGACCTTAGATGATATAACTTGAAAAGAGGTGAAGCATTAGGTCAAGTGATGTGTTTGAAGATTTCAACTTTTTTCTGTTCCAGCAGCTTTGAACATTTGTGTATTGTGGTTGGCAAGGTATCATCAAACCTAACATTCCGAGTTCTGGTCCTGCAGTTAGTTGTCTAGGTGGTATTTAAGTCTTTTGATATAAGTTTACAATTAAATTTATCAACAAGAGTTGAAAAGCTGTGTTGTTATTTGATGCCATGGTTAAATTATTTTGTGAACTTCCATTGACTGTGCAGTAAATACAGTCTCATCAGGCCTGTAGGAATTATTTTTAATTTCATTTCTGAATATCTATAATTCTTTACAATCTTTTATCCAAGTCTTAGCCTGTAGAATCCCATGACATGGCTTATTCAGGTTTATTTATTATTACTTAGTAGTCCAAGTGGCATGCACTTAGAAAGTTTTCTCAGCAGTGCTCAACAAATACCACAGAGGAGGCAAAGCCCACGTTTTTGCTAAATGGAGGTGTGTTGCTTTTCCTCCAATTTGATTGGTTCATTTTGGTGGGTGTGTAGGTCTATGGCTATTTCTATTGGTTGAAACTATGCCACATTGGCCTTCACACCAGCTGTTGATGAATGATGCAAGGGCTGGGATGTGGGTTAGTTGATCTCTGGAAAATGAAGAAGTAGTTTTGGACACAACAAGGCATTGGGAAAGGAAATCAGGTGGTGTCATATACCTGCAAGTGATTGCTATGGTGTACAATGGCATTCTGCTCCCAAAATCTGAAAGTAGGTATTTTTTATTGATAACTTCATTTCAAAAATAAGAATCACAGTAAAAATATTCTCTGGCCAAATTCCAGTCAACAATTTTTGGTAAATAAGAAAGGTCAGTAAGATAGTCGTTATCCTATGTACATCTGTAGAGGTCAGGTAAACCACTAAGGGTGTGTAGGTAAATAACGCAGGTTTTATAGCCCCAGTGGAATGTACCAAGAATATCACAATAAGGATTAGCATTGGGAAGGTAAAAAGGGAAACTGAAGGTGATCTATATATTGTGGATATTTCATTGTACTTAGAAAGTGCCACATCATCATGGTTATAAATGTAAAATCAAGGACTGGAGCTTGATGAATATTTGGATTTGTAGAGAGCATTGGTATCAGGGCGCTACATGTACTTAAGTGTTCATATATTTCATATATGTAGGATAAGGGATTAGTTCAGTTTCCATCAAGAATGTTAAGGTGAATGGGCTGATATAGCTCATTTGTCTAAAGAGGCAAGGGTTCACCGCATATTATGAAGAATTGTGTTAAGAATATGCAACAGGATGTAGGATGGAATTGAATCAGTTCTGAGGTTTTGAGGTTGAAAGTACAGTCAGGAACTGTATGGCCTGGGTTCACATTAGTTTATATAAATATGTTTTGAATTTGACTTAATGCTTATGTTTGGTTTAGTGAATTTGTACAGTATATTCTTTATTGCCTTTTTATTTTTAATTTTACAAGATTGCTCATCCATTTTAAATATGTAGAAAGCATTTATCAGGAAAACCCTCGTATGTTATTAAGAAATATATGAATATTCAATTCACGAGTCATTTAATGATATAGCAGGCTTAATTAGTGATGAAATATCAGTATATGGCTCAATAGCTCAGAGGAATATAAAGATCTTTTTGGGAGAAGAAAGATACTAATAATTTCAAAAAAATATATTGCAGTTTTATGTGCAATAAATAAAAAGTAAAACAGTATGCAAATTATACCACATCCAAGCCAAAGTGCTATTTCTGTGTGGTTACAGAGGAATGCAGACTTTTTTTTGAAATGGAAAACTTGTATCTACTTTTTTATATGAAAGCAGATAATACAGTGAACCTCTGCTACTGTAACAGTATTGATATGTAGCTTCCACCTGCCACTACACTAATTAATTAATTAATTAATTAATTATTGAATGGAAAACATATTTTAACTTAATATGCTTCTTTTCCAGTAATTGCAGTGGGTAAAACTGTGAGCAAGTACTACCGTTTCCTGTCTAAGAGTGGTGACTGGGTGTGGGTCCAGAGTAAAGCCACCATCCTCTACAACTCAAATAGCCAACCGCAATCCGTCGTCTGCATCAGTCAACTTATCAGGTTTGTAACAGACAAGGTGGTTATAATAATTTACGGTAATTGCTTAAAATGTTCAAACATTGCACCTTTTCTAATCATGGTCTTCCTTTTTTCAAGATTTTCAGTTTTAGCATGCTTACAAAAATATACCTTCTGACAAGAAGTGAAGTATCTTTTCAAATCCTCTCTAACATGTTTAAATAGTATAAACAGAACTTCATTTATGTTGTTCAAATTAAAAGAGTAATCACTTAATTTAAACAAAATGGTACAAAATTTTATCAAACCATCATTTTGTGAGTATTATCTGAGGAGGATGAGAAAGTTTTAAAAAGCAGGTATATACCAGGTGAGAGGTTTTGTTTTATGTGAGTTACTTTATGTAATAATCATGTTTGGGAAAAAATGTAAATTTGTGAAATTCATAAGCTGTTAGAAAAATGAGAGTAATTATCAAAATTTCTGTCAGGATTGAGCTTGTTCCTGATTATACAGCAAATAATTACAGAGTAACAAGTAAATTTGAAATGAAGTAAGACAATGGCATTTCAAACGGCAGACACATAAAATCCTTAACTGCTGGATAAATTATTTATAAAAATGAAAAATTTCACTTTCCACATATCATGTTTTTGCATGCAAACTGTTTAATATCAGAAAACTGCATTCCTTCAGTATGTGATAATATGGTTAACCAGACTGTGTTTTTGTGGGAGAGATTATCACGGATGAGGTAGGTTATTGATTCAGAAAGGCTAGCTCCATGTGACACTGTTTGAAGATATATTGTTACAGTCTTTATAGACTGTACATGTTGATAGACCACAGTGTTTCTTTCTTTTATGAACCAGACGTGCAGAAACTTGTTCTGATTGTGGCCAGATTGTTCGTCAAATACCAAGGTATCCTTCCCTGGTTCTTGCTTCTTCTAAGAAGAAGGCTTTTGTTTCATAATAGATTTAGATTTTTTTTTTCTCTTTTTTTTTAGTGAAGCTGAGGTAAAGCGTTCCTTAGCATCAGAGAATAAGAAGGCCATTGAATATGCTGTCCCTGGAGCCAACCTTACCGAGCTAACAGCAACATCATCAGGAAGGGACACAAACCAAAGTGGTTTTGCTGGTCAAAATGGGAGTGTGGACTCCACCCCTGTTAGCAACACCAGAAAGCAGCCATTGCCCTCCTCTGACAGTCAATCCAGCACTTCGTCTTTATCCTCTAGGGATAGTGAGCCAGATGCCCAGCCTGTCTTCAAAAAGCCCCGTTTAGACAAAATGAATGTGCGCACACAGAGCATGCTAATGAGTCCAGAGGTAGACTTTGCAGTTGTGGATGATGTGTTCAAAATTGGAATGCCACTGGAGGAACCTTTGCCTCCATTTTGTTCTGACACTGAGACAAACCTGGAATCCCCTGGTGGGTACCTCAGTGATGCAAATTCTGATAATTCTATGGGTTTTGATGTTCCCAGTGGTAAAAGAAGTTCCAAGCAGCGTGATAACAATCCCTATATGAGCTATGACAGTCCTGGCATCAATTTTAGTTCAACGTCCACTGGGGAAACTAGTCTCAATTCCAATTCCGTGTCATCGGATGCATTTAGCTCATTTGGACCATATCGCAGCTGCACCTCGTCTACTCCATCACCTACCCTGAACGCTCTGAATCAAACAAATTCACAGTTGTATCTGGCAAAAACTAACACAATTACTGCCAACACAAGTAGCCAGGATGACAACCAGCCCTCTGAACTAAGGAGACTGTTACTAGAAGGGCGGCAAAAGAAGAAGCAGAAAAGTGACTCTTCAGTTAGGAAGAGTGATCAGCAGCTGGAGGCTGAGAAACCGGTGTTAGCAAGTCTTCTGCAGGGAAAGTTGGATTTGTCCAAAGCACATATTCCTGCACCAGTGGTTAATGATCAGCCTCGCCAGCAGCAAAAGCAAAATGATATACATTCCCAGAGGACTGTGCACAGCAGCATAGGTGATGGGCTCGGAAAGGATAATTTTAACGACTTTGGGAACACTTCAAGTCAAGGCTTTCAGAATATCAATGCTACCAATCACCCTTCACAATCTTGGAGCCCTGTTGACATGGTGAGCTCTTACAAAACCGCGATCAAGTTTGATATTTTAATCTTCATCTTAAGAATGCTTGTAAATAATTACACTCATTATGTTGTTGATTGTATGATAGTGGAACACTGCACAGTAAACTTTTTTGTATTGTTCAATATTTAACGCCATCATATCAAGTAAAATCTGTATTCAAATAAAAGTACCTTTGAATAATTTAAACAGTATTATGGAAATTGTTTTAGCGTTTTAATGGGTTCTGAAAGTATGACTGTTTAAAAGGCAATCATTGTTCATGGCCAAAAGTGCAAGATTTTTATGTTTGCTAGTGTTAAACCATTGAGTAGGAAACAGCGAATGCAGATAATCAGTTACATTCTATGAACAAAGCATTTATATCTAATTCATGAATATTATGGAGCTTGTCATGATTTGTAGACAAATAAGCGTGCATGTAGGTTTTGCATGAAGGACTACTTTTTTGGCCAAGAGTTTCATATGGAACCTTTGATTTTGACATTTCAAAAATTCATAACTGGAAGAAAGAGAAACTGTAATTCACTGCATTACTTTAAGTGTTCCAGAGAAGTTCTGTAAAAAGAAAAACATTGATTGTCATTGAAAAAATTTATATAATCTTGTATTTCATATATAACGTAAAAATCCATAATGTTAACACATTCATTGTACTTTTACTTTCAGTCACTTCTTGACAGTATGGAGACGTTATTAGATCAAGAAAACCTACTAGTTGACTATTACTACAGTTCTCTATTGATGAATGATGAAATTCCTCCAGAGCCTTCCACCACTGGTCAGCAGTGTGTCCAGCAGTCCAGTGATTCAGCCAGTCCACCCATGTCCACGCACAGCCTCCAGTCTCCCCAGGGGAGTCTGTTTGGTAGCCCCCAGGGTCCTGCACAACAGAATTATGGGAGTTCAAACAGCCCTCTGATGTCCCCCCAGGGTTGGGCACAGATGAGCCCAGGGGGGACTGTGATCTCCAACCAGGTACCAAACGTGAACATGCAGGTGCCTACCAGTCCGTCATTACAGCGCAGTTCTAAGTACAGCTCCCAGGGGAGCTGCAGCTCGTCCAGTTCAAGTGTGCACAGTGCCATGAGCCCCCCTGGGTTACAGACCCTGAGGAGCCCTTACTCCAGTCAGGCGTGCAGCCCCAGCCCCACCCGCTCCAGGCACAGCACAGGGGGCGGCAGCCTCAGCGAGGAGATCTGTGATGAGATCTTTGCTGGTTCTAGCCCCCCTTCTGTCCCCCACATTGTAGCCCCAGCAGGGAGGCCCCTGCAGGGGAGTTCTGGCCAGGTGGTGGATATTAACTTTGGTGATCCTCTGTTGTCCGATACTAGCTTGCATGGACAGGAGAGTCAGGAGTCGTTTGAATCTGATGTGATGGCTTTTGAGGAACTGTTACGCTCATCAAGTCCTCATAGTCAGGTGAGCTGATAGTTGGAGAAGGATTATTGTGTGGAACACACTTTAATTTTGTCAGGACATTCATTTGTAGCCTTGTAAACTTTGCTTTTAGAATAGTTCAGATATTAGCTGATGAAAATAGAAATGTGGGGATAAGCAGGCATCTATCTCTGTACAGTAAATTTGATAACACTTTGGCACATGGCATGAAAAGAGACTATGGCAAAATGCCCTGTAACTTTGCACTTAAAAATAACGTCTCTTTCGCATTCTTGTATTCTGAAGTCAAAATGAAACAAAGAATAAGACTCCCTCAGTGGACCAGAAAATTGGTGAGTTTTAATTTGACTTACTCTTAAATTTGAAAAAAAATGAGCAAAATGGATGTCGATATGAAGCATGACTGGCACTGTCCTTTGGCTCTTGAAGATGTATGGCTTGGAGTGAAAGAGCATTGCACTTCAGTATTGTATGCACATGGTCACAATGCAAAGAAAGACTCAAACTGGTTTCTACCTGAAATGCATGTTCAACCAATGAAATGGTTTTAACAATAATTTTACTATCAGGCTGTCCTCATATGAAAGTATATCGGAAAAGCTGCAGGTGCAGGTTGCAGGGACATATTGTCACTGGACCATAGTAAAATGAATTTAGTCTGACAAATTTGATTGTCTGGGAACAAACATTAAGACCCTTACCAGTATGTGTCTAACATATATCTGTTACAAGGATCCAGAGAATGTGTAGATGTCAAAGACAGTTGGTTGCATTAACACAGGCAGAGCATGCAGCAGCAACAAAAGATCATGCTATCAACACCCAACTGATTGCACTTGTCTTTTTACTTATGGCATATCAGCCATTTTAGAGTACTCCAAATTTACTTTTGGGAGATATATCTGACATACCTGCCCTGCTGCTGAGAATGCCTGCTCTGAATTTTTTCGGTGTCAGACCACTGCATATTCCATCATGGTTGAAACCAATTTTGCCCTCCAAATTTGTTGATCTATATTTTTCCCCATGGTATGAAATATATTTAAAGGTGAAATATGAATGAGCATTTAGAGATTGCACCCCTTATATATGTCAGTAGTACATTTGTGGGGCCTGTTTCACAAGAGAACATTAGACCAAAATATAATCGAGCCTTAACTTTAAGACTGAAATTTAAGTATGGTATGACCTAAGTGAAACCATTAGTAGTCAAATTAAATTCATTGGCGAACTAGTTTTATTAACAAGAGAGAAATCGCTGCAATGTCTACTCTATTTTAGTAGGCTGCTGCACTTTTGTTCAAAATTGTCCAAAACCTGGATCTTTAGACCAAATTTCTGCCTAAAGTTCAAGAAATTATTTGCTTCTTAAGCAGTCCGTCATAATATGTTAGATCCACCAATGAGATAATTTCTGTGAGAAGTTTCAGATGTTGTTCTTTTCTCCTGTAGGCTAGTTCAGCTTGTGAAGGGGTTGAGGAGGTGGTAAGAGGTTTCATCAACTCTCCTTGGAGCCAAGAAAATCCCGACAAACTTATCATCAATTCTGTTAATGGGTTAGTCCGAAAAAAAAAATTGAACAGATTTAAAATCAAGTCGGAACTTTATAGGGAGGCAATTTGTGGAGCTTTACATATCTCATCTGCTTTAAATTTATTGTAACTTCCCAGCTTCAACCAAAAGCAAATCTTTTTTAATAGATAGAAATTCTGCTGTCTTCTATCCAAAAATTCTAACCGATTAGTTTCCAGTAGAATATATGATTTGAGCTACCCTCACAAATGTTGCATTCAAAACATTGTGACAAATGGTGTTACTGAAATAACATTAATACAATTTAGGATGGAATAAGAATGATGCTTAAGCTGGTGATGGTTATAATATTATCAAAGGGGAGATCTAGGGTGATGTTTGAATTTCCTATGGTCCTCTTGGTACAGGGTTGGCTATGCACTGGAATCATGTATACAAAGTTGCCTTTGATAACTTGCTTACAAGTAGACTTCATCACCAAAGCTATTCCTGGTGTTTTTGCTTCTTATAGAGAACCAATGTTTTTTTTTTTTTTTTTTTTTTTTTTTTTTTTTTTTTAATATATAAAGAAAATCTATTCTTACCACAGCCAGTTCATGTGGTTTTTAGGGTATTGATTTATGTAGCAGTTTTCTTAGACAAGATTAAGGCTGGTAAAATATGATTACACAAGTTTTTATAGCGTGCCACATCTTGACATTGCCTCAGACAGATACCATGACTTAAAACAGTTAAGGTTTTCAGTTTTGAAAAGAAAAAAAAACTTCAAATAAATAATCAAACCATTTTCTGATGTCACTGAACATTTGAAAACAAAGTCTAAGCTTAATCATTGTTATGTCTTCAATCAAGTTATCATCTAATGGTGAACCATCTCAGTGGGAAGTCAGAATATGATTAGTTCACCATCGGGAGCCAGTCTAATCAATCTGCTGCCCACACATCACTAGTGATATTTAAGTTGCGTCATGAGATTGGCTTTTTATGATGAGCTAATCATAATCATAATGCATTGTTGAGATGGAATATACCAAGCTAGGGCCACACAACCTAAAGGCTTGTTTACATTGAGTTGATTTGTAGGAGTGAAACTGTGCATAGGGTAGTTGACAGAGATATCCTACTGCATAAATGACATTAAGTTTCTTGTCTTAAACCTTGATGACATTTGCCATGTGGTATCTGTATAGTGCATGTAGACTGCTCATAAATCCCTTTTCATGCAGTGTCTGAGCGAAGGCAGATGGTAGCCATGTGAAATTGCACAAAATCTTATGGATATACAGCCTCTGTAGCCACTATGACTTTGACAAGCTAAAACATCTGACAATTTGTTTTAATTGGAAGCCCGTAGGCTGTAAATGGCATCACACAATTCTCGTATGGACATTGTTCAGTGGACTAGTGGTGATTGTGATATTGCTTGCACCTGTTGTATAGCTCTTCCCCTTCCACCTTTGATGGTTTCAAGAGGCATAACAATAGAAAATATGTGTAAAACTTAGTGTAATTCACTTTCACAAGTTGTGCCTTACTTCATTCTGCCCATACAGGTGCTAAAAATTGTTGGAATCTGCATTGACAACGTATTGGTCTTCAGTTGCACGGCAACTGCACTGAGACCAAAAGGGCTCCTTATGATCACTTTTCAACCAACAAACGAAACTTTCCCTTTAGGACCTCAAGGCCATGTCGGCATGGCACCAGCACATAATGTGAACATACTCGTCTTAGCCCATAGCCACTTATAATGTTGTAAAAATCACAGAAAATCATATATGATTGTATTGTACATCGTCCATGGCAAATGGTAATCTAGGTTTATGAAATGCCGTCAGCACATACATGTAGACCAACTAAACAAAACCTGGGTGCTTTTATGTGTAACTTACATGGATGATGGGTTGCTGAAATCTTATTTATTGTTGCTCAATGTGTAATATGGCACAGAAGGACATGGAATAATAGCCAGACTAGGGGGCCATAAGAAATGCAGTGTAGCTTGCGCATGCTCAGTATATAACTGTGTTTGGGACAGTTTTAACAAAGTAAAATGAGTTTTAATCTTAAAAATGATTATCATAAAACGCAAGACGAAATGTTTTCATACTGTTAGCTTATAGCCAACCTGAAACATAGGCCTTCATCAGGCTGATGTGAGTAGATGTTGTTACTCACTGACTGCTAGGTGGTATAACATCTACTCACATGAGTCAGATGAAGGCCTATGTCCACATTGGCCATAAGCTAATGGTATGAAAATATTTCAGTTTGTGTTTTATAATTATCATATATGATTCAACTACCAAGCTAATGAACATTTTGCTCATGTAAGAAAAAGATATTTACATGTCATCCCCTCCTGTACCCCACTGTGTGTTCCATCCATCGGGAATTTTACCGAGGGGATTACCCATGATGTCAGCTTCTTCATTTTCAAACTTCTCTATGTGCACATTTATGGAACTGTTGACTGTCCGTGGCAAGTTTGATTTAAGTATTTTGCCCTAATCACAAATGAGATTAATTTATCTGGCTTTTGTGGTTTCATAAACGAGCATTTATGTAGTAAATAGATGTGTCTAACATTTGTGATTGGCACAGTTAACTTCAATCAAATGCTGCGAAAGTTCAAATATGATAAATGGGCATATATGGAAAGTCTGAGAGTGGAAAAAAAATTGGCCCTCATTGGTTCTGAATATTGGCCAACATGGCTGACAGCTTCCATCAAAACATCATTTTTCTTGTTTCCTTTGTCATCAAAACATTTTCCTTGTTTCCTTTGTTAAAACCAACTGAACACAGTCAATGACATTGTTTAAGTTCTATAATGTACAGGTTATTGTAAACTGAATGTTATACATTGTGAATGTAATTTTTTCATGAACCATGTACTTGCACATCACAACCATGGGAAATCGAGAAAAATATTAACTCCACGTTTAGAAGTTCATAATATTAAGTAAATTATTATTATTATTATTATTATTATTTTATTTATTTATTTATTTATTTATTTATTTTTTTTTTTTGGTGAAAAAATCTACAATTTTGATTTTTTACCCTTTTGATCAATGAGGGATTATAAGCAATATTTCATTTTTATTTTCTGTTGCCAGGCCCTCCTTGAAGAAGCTTCTGCACTGTTAAGTGAAATTCAAAGGCAAGAAGAGCAGACAGCAAACTATTGGAATGCATATAATAAAAGGTGACAAAAATGTGTAAGGGACATCAAGAAAAATGTTGATTACCCAACAGGAATACTCATTGAAGACCACAGATTTGACTTGTACATAATAAATTTTGAAAAAAAAAAAGGAATTTTAATATTTTTCCTCCTACATGTATATAGCAACACTCCCAAGTTGTAGGATTATAATGAAGACGGCCATGGTCATATACAAAGGTTATGGAAGGTGTATCCCGGTGGGTTGGGGGTTGGGGGGGGGGCGGATTAAAAGACTAATGGCATTTAGTGAATGTGATACTTAACAAATTGTTAAGAGTATGTGAAGGTTTATGGAAATGGTGTACAAATGAGTTTCATATTTCTATAATATTTTTTGTAACAGCACATCATTAACATGCTATAATATTTTTGTTTACTAGCAACTTTCAAGGATGTAGAAGCTTTATTTATTTTTTTTATTTATTTTTTGCACTAAAACAAAATGCTGTTTGTTGATTTTCTCTCCCATCTGAAGACTTAACTGCTGTATATAAAATCACTTCAGTTTTGCTCAGTTGGTTTTAATTTGTTATGTTGTTACTTCTTTTGTGTTACATTTTCTGATATTGCCAACACATTTGTTTGTACATTTTGTAAATATAGAGGATTGGTAAAAAAAATCCACTCACACTCGATTCTGGATCCAAATCTTTTCAAAACTGTTTTTTGATATTAGATAATATAATTGAAAGTGTATGTTAGTTCCAGAATATCATAATTTTTCTTTTAGCTAATATTACTTTCATTACTAAATTGAAATATAATTTATCTGAAAGCATGAACTTTTTTCATCATACATTTTTTTGTGTGTAGAGACACTTTGTACATAATCTAATCACCTGTGTCTGTCCATGCCATTATCCTAACTGTCTGGAAAATTTTTTGTCTGTATATATGGCAGTCTCACTGCCTATTCAAAGTACTTCACAAACCTAATAAAGTGAAAAGAGAAAAAGCTGTGGCCTGCCTATATCAAATGTGTGCTGTGTTGCATTAAATATAAATATTGTAGAATAACGTTTGAAAAACTTTACGCAATGTGTATATTGAACTATAGAGACATTGGAAATGTCCAGTGAGAAAGCATCGGTCATTGGAATATTGGGTATCATGGTTAATTTCAAGTTTTGTTATATTCTGATATTACAAATTGTTTTATTATTCAATTGTTATTTGAATTGTGAAATCCGTGAAGAGGGTAGTGTAGCAATAAGAAATTGGTTTCAGAATCACTATTCTGTAGATTTATTTTAGTATACTTTTAACAGGATTTGAAATCCTGAACTGTTTTTAGAATTTAATGTAGCACATCATGGTGAAATGTTCTTGTGTACATGGTTTACAAAAAGTTAACAGACTTTCCAAGACACAATCTGCATTGTTTTTGTTTTTATGTACACAATGGAATTTGTATCACAGTATGATGTGGACGGAAACGTACTGTAAGAATTTATTAATTAGGTAGGCAAATAGAAAAACTACTGCTATTCAAGACTTTTAAAAACTATTTTCAGTTTTTATTCTCTTATCCCATATACTCTGGTGAATGTCAGTTCCCATTTTTTCTACATTTGTATAAATTATTCTGTGCCATACAAGTTATTATACAGCCTATCGCTCACCTTCTGAATTTATTTTGTGAAGGATTTAGAAGTACCAGTTATTTACGTACATTGCTTATCAATCTTTTTTTTTTTGCCATAAAGGAGAATGGTTATAAGATTGTTTCACATTCATTTGTACTTTACACACTGTACTACTGGCTTTTGTTTTTAATTTATTCATGGAAGTAAAGCTTAAAAGTATACAGCCATTGATCTTTTAGATCTACTTGATAATGCAAGCCAATAGCTAGTTGCATCAGGCGAGACAATAGTATTTGGTTTTGGAAGTGGCCAATTTGACAATTCAAATTATCAGAGAAATTACCAGCGCAGTGGAGTTCTATCTTTATGCAATTTATTGGAATATATCTAAATTGAGAGCTACCTACTGTCAATCAAAGTCAATTGTTATGCACCAACACCCAATCTAATATTACTGTTAGTTAAAGATACCTGAACTTGTTAAGAAGTTTTATTGTTATCTGATATTCTGATTTAATACAAATTGCTCCAAGGGCATTTTTGTAAATATGTGCACAATTTTTCTACGGCAGCTGTGCTGTTCAACTGTAAAAAAAATGTATTTCATTTCAAAGGCAACCTTCTTTATCTACTGTATTAGCACGTTTTTCATTGATAAGTACCAAGTACATGAGTTATATATATATATATATATATATATATATATATATATATATATATATATTCTTATTTCTAAGACTGAGTGGAATTAGGGTAAATGATTTTATCCCAGTGTGTCATGACAAATATATTGCAGTTGTCATATGAAAGCTTTTATGGAATAAATGGGTTTTAAAAAGAGATTTAGGAGTTTTTATGCCCTAGCTGGCTTGTGCTGAGGTTCGTCAACCTTTGGCAAGCAAGTAGTACATGAAGTCCAATAAAATTAAGTATTGTGCCCACTTTGTAACAAGACATTTGTTTCAGACTTATTTCTATTTCCCCCATTTCAACGTTACTGGAAACCGTGACCTTTCTGAGACACTCGACATTAATTCAAGGTGCAATTTGAAAATCGTCCAATTATATGAACTACATATCAGTGGCTGGTGGTATTTTGAAGGGAGGTATCAACTCCTCTTGAAGGCTCTAGCTCTAGTATATCAATTTAAAACAGACCTCAATCAAAGTGATTTCACTTAAAATATTTTATTTCTACATTCCTAAATAAATATCAGAAATCTATAATATTCCTACATTTACTCAAAATCAAGGAACTGGAGATGGTGGAATGTTTGAAATACTAAAATATTCCATTGTTCTCAACTTATAAATCCTAAACCATAAAACACAGTATAAACACTATATTACTCATACAGAATTTGGGCCTATCACTATCCCAAAACGAGAAAATTAAAATCTAAAGGCACATCAAGAAGTTGCACAGAAATTTAAAAGTTGTGACTGACAATTTTATTTATTACACACAGATGTGGCCTTAAATGAATCTGTTTGACAAGTTTTGATGTTAACTATACTACCCTACCTTGCACTGAAATTTCAATTTTCAAAATAATCCCTTTAATTAAAAACATTCTCTACAATATTGTTCTGATGTATCAAACAGCCACTTTTACAGCACGTGGGATTCAACAGAAATGCCCCTATATACCAGTGTTCCAGAAAAATTTTCTGTTCAAATGTCTTTTGTTCCTGGACTTGTTACCAAGGTCTCTCCCTAGAAGCGTCATGCCTTGCCACTGGAGTTCTTGCAAATCCTCGGCCAGAGCCATAGCTGCTGAACTGTAATATAAATATACAAGTGTGAATTTTATGACAAAATGTATATATTTGTTTAAATTTTTTCTTTTTTTCCCCCTTAAATTTTGAGACTTTCAGATGTAATCTTCACAGTTTCTCCTTATGTTAACCATGATGCCCCCCCCTTCCCCCCCCCCCCAAAAAAAATCGCCTCTAAACGTACATTTACTAACATAAGACCATATAGCCAGTAGGGACTGACGATCCCATCAGAAAACGGCTTCTGTAGTGTTGATGCCCACATGGGATTTACACAAAAACTTCAAAAAGATTCCAAAATATATGAATATAATTTTTATAAATCTTCTGCAATAAACCTATGTAGATATCCAATGAAATTAACTTCTCAACTACCTTAAATGTTTTGATTCTGTGAGACTTCTCAGGGTGGCTGTCTCTTCTATCATAACCATAATGCTCTCTGGAATCTATATCTCTCTGCTGTAATGTCCCTCGGGCTGCTGTTATGTTTGACAGTTTGCTCCCAGAACTTTCACCACTAAATCTATTACTATCACTATATGTTAGATTAGCAGACTGCAAAGTGTGACCCACTTGGGTAAAATCTACATCAAATGTTTCATTCTCCCAGTCTTCAGAAGATGGAACAACAAAATCTTTCATAGGGTTTCTCTTGGTATTATAAGTCATCCCTTGGTTTGGCAGGGGTGTGGGTTTCTTGAGCTGCACCGACATATCTTTATTTTGCTTCAAGTCAAACCTGTACTCATTCTGTTCTGGTCCATGCCTTGACCAAACACCCCCCCTGCTAAATCCAGATGGTTGTTCCATTCTGTTATCATTCAACTTCTCAGTGGAGGTATGGCTACCCGATGGTTGTGGTGGTATTGCAGGCTGATGTCTTTCTGGACCAAAAGCAGACTTCGGCTTACGATGAATGATCATAGTTGGTAGAGGTCCTTCTAGGTCATCAATATCTTCCAAACTGTCTATACTTGAAGATGTACCAGTTTTACTGCTGCCCTTTTTAAATTTTGAATCACCTCCTACTTCTGGTATAAGTTGCCTTTTGAGTGATGAATTGTTTTGGTTACTGTTTAACTGATACAACGAATTGTCAAACTGATACAAAGGTGTGTTCTCTGGGTTAGAACTAGACAATTTCCTCTCAATATTTCTATATCCTGTTTCTTGATTTGTAGATTTTCCTTCCATGTATTTGTCTTCTGGGTGTATGGCTGATAAAATCTTCTGAGACTTCAAAGAAATATTATGTTTTTCTTCCTGAGATGCTACTGAGCTACTCAAATTTTGCTCTGGTTGGTGCTGAGTAATTTCAGTTGTGGATTGTTTGTTGTCTAAGTTCAGATCTTCAGCATCAGTGTATGAACTTTCATTTTCCAACTTTGCAGATTCACCATTTACCTGCTGTTTACCCTCAGCACCATTAATAACCTTGTTGGCATCATATTTGCTCAACTGAGCAGCAGCAGCTGCTGCTAGATGCTGGAGGTAAAATTCCTGTGAGAAATTGTTTGGAAGACAAGGGCCAAACATTGGTGGTACACCTGCAAGTGGGAACATGCCCATTAAAGTTGGCATAGGCATAGCTGGCATGGGCATAGATGGCATGGGCATGGCTGGTATTGGCATTGTTGGCATATTAGGCATTACAGGGGGCAACCATGGCATGGGAAGTGGAGGCAAGGTTTTCATTAGAGAATCAAGGAGCTGACTTTCCGCAAGATTACTGTCTTTGCCACTTTCAGTGCTCAACACTCGCTGAACATCTGCAGAAGTCGATGGATTATCCTCTCCCAGTAACAGCTCACTTTTAGACTTTAATTCTTGGGAGATGTTTTGTTGAACACAAGGAGATGAATCAGAAGTCACTTTTATGGCAAATGTCTCATCTTTGAGGTTGGGGTCTACTTGACAATCTTCTTGCTGTCTTTCCCCATCACCAAATGGATTCATCACATCTTTTTGTTGAACCTGCACGTCTCCATTGTTGTTTCTGTCAGTAACAGATCCTTCTTGTTTCTTGAACTGTGAAACATTCCCNTTTTCTTCTTGGCAGATGTTTTGTTGAACACAAGGAAATGAATCAGAAGTCACTCTTATGGCAAATGTCTCATCTTTGAGGTTGGGGTCTACTTGACAATCTTCTTGCTGTCTTTCCCCATCACCAAATGGATTCATCACATCTTTTTGTTGAACCTGCACGTCTCCATTGTTGTTTCTGTCAGTAACAGATCCTTCTTGTTTCTTGAACTGTGAAACATTCCTCAGATCCGATGAAAAAATATCAGTCAAGGACAAAGAATCTGAGTTACAAAAGGACACATCTGTATCTGGCACAACTTCCAATGGTGTATCTGATACAATAGATCCCATTGTCTCCCTTGTTTTATTCAAATCTCCAGAATGCCCAAAGATTTTTTGATGAAGTTCAGCAGGGCCACCATCTGACTGATTTGGAGAAGCAGTCTTCAATGGATCCATTTGTTTCTCAAGATTTTGGAGTGTAGGAGCAACACTATAATCTGCTGCAGATGGTGCTGAAATGTTTTCAGGACTAGACCTGTTAACATACTGTGTGCTCTGCCTGAGAGAGACGTGTTCTAACATAGCATTGGAAGAACCATCATAGGATCCCTGCACCACTGGTAACTCATCAATCTCTTTAAACTCTTCATTTTGGGGAAATGCTGTCAGAAACAAAAGAGAGATCTTATAGTAACAACTAGATACAAAAATCTGTCGTTTAAATTCCCCCCTAAAAAATCATGAACGGTACTACATACTACTGGTCACAAACAACTTAACACCCTTCATTAAATCCTTGACCATACATTAAAATGCAAACATTTAACATCATCTCATAAAAAAATGCTATTACTAACCTGTGTTATTTCCACAATCATACTGAACATCAACAATTTCAGTCTCCCAATCTTCTGTGGGTTCAATGATATTGTAACTGCCTGTGTATACAGAAGCACTATGTGAGGATTTAGGTTGCCTTATATCTGCAGCCAAGGTAACTCCTGGTTGGTTCTCTGGACAAGTTGACCTATCCGGGTAGTTGGACTGCATCAAGATTGGCTGGGCGTTATTCAGATCTGTATCCTGCCAGGCGGCTGCAGCACAGGCACCATCTTCATCACTGAAAGAAGAAAATTTTTAAGTCATATGAATTATCTTTCCCGAGACAATGTTGTAAAACACTATCGTTTTTTTCCATATTATTCAGACAATCTCATTTACCCAATGAAATATTTTTAAAGAAATCTTTATGTCACCAACTAATTCAAAAAATTATACCTGCTTAATTTTTTGGTAAGACCATGTCTAAAAGGTGGCAGTGAATCATGGTTGACCAATGCAGCTTTAAAGTCCACTTTCTCAGTCGCTGTTTTGTTTATATCAGCTTCATAGCTTTGCCCTTGAAAATGCTCCTGCTCACCAGTCTGATCTGAATTACAATAAATAAATAAATAATATATAAATAAATATAGTTGAAATGTTTAACAAAACGTAACATTGCTGTGAAGGTCTATATAATACAGCAATATATAGGCTTAAATACAAGGACAAAAAAATAAAAATAAAAGCATCACAAAAAATTTCAAATTTTGAATTAAGCCTGTATTTTAGCCCACCAGGGTCATTCAGCAGTTTCAAAAAGACAAGTTGCTCCGTTTTAAAAGGTATCTTGGTAAAAAAAAAAAAAAATTCTGCATGACAACAGCCAAGTGAGAGACTTATGATAATGGCAAAATATACAGGTACAACACTATCTGAACTTGAAAACAATGCAACCTTACTTAAACAGCTTTCCACTAACCATCACACTAAGAAAATGCTTAAACCTGGAAAATAAAGACACCAAGGATGACAAAAGAAAGAATCATTACAAATGTGGTCAAATATTATGTTGTCGTACCTTCTCTATAATAAGAGATGTGTCTCCTTTCATGGAATATCACAGCTGGACCACATGCTTGCTGTTTTTCACTAAAATAAATCATATTGCAAGTGCATTAGAAAAACAAGCACTTCTTTATAGCAGTTTTTAAATCATTTTCAGCAAGACAGGAAGTGACAAAATGTCAAACATGCACAGTTTCAATTAAAAACACATACAGCTTCAATTCAAACCTCTCTTCTGAATTTGGTTATTATTCCAGAAAATTGGATGAAAAAATAAATCAAAATATTTCATAACACAATTTTTCACCCAGATTGACCTCACCTACTCTCATCATCAACATACCCTGGTTCTAATTCTTTCTTCTTATCAAGCTCAGCCTTCTGTCCATGTCCATCATACCTATGCCATGCCTCTTCCTCCTCCATCCGAGCTGTCTGCAAGCTCAGTGCCAGGGCCTTCATCAGCATCTCGGCTTCTTCTGTTTGACTCTTTGGCTGCAACTCATTCACGACTGACTGTTTCCTTTTTCTCTCTTCCCAGTAGTTGGTATTTGGTACAAACATGGAGGAAGCAGTTTGCTGTTGCCATGGGTCTGTGAATATTTCATACACACAATATTTATCAATCTATTACTTTCAAGCTCTAAGAATATAAATCTGAAGTATATTGGAATGATATAAACTTCAATAATTGCTTTTCACATAATATTTAAAGAAAATTTTGCTTTTTGTTGGTGCAAAACATGTGTTATGAAATTAGAAAGTTGGTTGAAATACTTTTCCTAAATGTCCAATTTGTCTTTTCCCTTTGATACACAGTCTCCAAACTTATTTTTTACTTTACATTCTATAATTTTGTATTGTCCAATTATCTTCACAGTCACAATTATACCTTTCTTTTCAGATTCCCAAACACCGTCATGATCTTCTGAATAGGTGTACATATCCTCTGGACAATTGGAGTCTTCTCTATATGATGTATCCAATGGTTTCCAATGAGAGTTTTTGCCCTTAGTCCTCAATTGTGACCTTAAATACACATTAAAGATCTAGAGCACTACAGGGAAGAATGTTAAAAAACCATGAGCCACATTCTACACTCATCTGGGACTTGGAAACACTTCAATTTGGTTGTTTTCCTCAGGCTTTTTATCTTCCTCAAATAAGTTTTTTCAGACAAATGATACTTTTCTCAATGCACCGAGGTTTCTATTAAGAACAGTCTTCCTTACTTTTCCTTTTTCTCTTTCTTCCTTGCCCCTCCAAACCCATCCTGGCTGGTGTCAGCAAAGTCGGCCTTCCTGTACGCAGTGGTGGTAAGGAACCCTTGCTGCTGTTGTGCTGTATTTTCACATTCTTTCTGCTGTTCTTTCTGTTTGAGATTGCCAAGAACTTTGTAGAATTCAGCCTGAAAAACAAGCTCCACATGTTGACCTCTTTTGTTTCTCACACTTTTACTTTATGTGAAATTAAAATCTGTGATGAAACAGTTAATTTCAAGTTTACAGATTGGTTAAAAAGCACTGAACAAGAATTATGAGCAACTATATTAACATTTTTTTCATGTATTAACAGCCGTGAAAAAGGTAATTTGTTTGCAACAATATAATATAATTGTGTGGATGAAAAAAGGAATAGCCAAAAATTGTAAACATTTATAATCATTCTTCTCAAAGTCAACTTTTACCTCCTTTTCTGCCCTCAACCTATCCAGTTCCTCCTGGTGTGCTTTAGACTCTTCCCTCTCCAGCCGCCATTTTTCTTGGCGTATCTGCTGTTCCGTGTGGCGTTTGGGCTGAGTTTCCACCCACTCATGGTACTGTTGGAGATGTTTGCCTAGCAACACGTTTTGTGTGTTGTTTTTTCTCGATTCATTGGCAGATATACTGGCTGTATGATCCTAGAAGTTATATTTCTTAAAATGTTTACTGTGGTATGTATTTCAGGACTCATGCTGGTGGTGCTAATTTACTTGTATTTGCTTGGATGAGGCAGTTTTTAGGAAAGATAAATAATGTCACCAGGCAATTGCATTTCCTTGTTATACAATTTCTTTCTATTCAAATTGTTAAGCTTAAAGGGATAATAACTCTTTGTATGAGATCTATATTTCACAATAAAAACATTGTGAATAACTCCTAGAAATATAATATATTCTGTTTTACCACAAAAACGGCAGTTATAGCTATTATTCTGATATCTGAGCTTGTCTTTAGACCACGTGACCTCCATTGATGGCTATACTCTGCTAAAATCTCTTAAGAGATTTTAACAAAAAACCAAACTTTTTAGAAAAAAACCAGGGACTAACTTTGAATGTAAAAATGGATTCATTAACCATTGGTAAGTATGGGAAAATTGTTGTTTACTCCAGCAAAATTCATTTTTTGGCCGAAACGAAGAGTTATTATCACTTTAAGATGGCTTTTGAGTTTCAACAATATTATTCTTTTACCAAAAAATGGGACATGTTCTTATCCCTCCTTTGGTCAAGTATTTTTACAAATTCTTTATTTCTCAAGTCAAACATTTGAACAAACCTTGGCTTCCAATTCAGCACCCCAATCTTCTTTTTGTGCCAGGGGTTGAGTTGGCATCTTCACTTTTTCTTCAACATGGACATAACTCTGTCTTCTGTATCCTTTTGCTTTCTCAAGAAAATCTTTCAGATGCATGTCCCTCTCTGTCTTTTGGCACAAACGTACCTGGGGTAACTGTTTTAGAGCTGACAACAACATCCACAATCTGCAGTTTACTGGGAGAGGTGGGCGGTTGAACAGGCTTTGGTTTGTTGCTTTTAAAATGTGACTCTTTCACAGACAGGCGCAGTTGCTCTAGGTTGCTCTCTGCTTCCACTTTTAATTGCTTTTTCTTCACATGAAAACAGCAGAATATCAGTCAAAGGTACATTCATAGCACTAAAATATACTGTTAAAATGTTAGTTAGCTCGAAATCACAGAAAACTTACTGAAAATGTTCATGTGTGCCTAAGGACTATAAATGCAGACACAAGAGATAATAATATATGCTCAATCTGCCAAAATTTAACTCTAAATAGCAGAGTTTACCTTCTCTTTTTGCTTTTTACGGCTTTCCTTCTTTTTAACCTCTGTATTCTCCACACTTGGTCTTTGCACTGGCCTTTTAGGCTCATCCTGACAGCTGCCTTTAGCTGGGTCATGTTTGTCTCTCACCCTGAAAAAATCCAGTGGATAAATCTTGAAACTGACACAAGGCCATATAAATTGTAATCATTTATAACATTCAGAATTTATGGATTGCATTAGTTAGTTATCATCAAATGCAAATGCTGTCCAGGAAGACTTTCTGTTAGCTGATCATGAGTTTTAAGCAACTAAACAGAAGATCCAGTGTGGGAGGAGATTATTTAGTGAGAGAACAGGTGCCCAGGGGTCATCCCACTCTCTGTCAGAGAAGCCAGGGAACAGAGGTACAAAGACTGTCAAACCTGGGAACTTCCTTGGTTGTATATAGTGAACTGACCATTATCTGACCATTTCAGTGCCATGCTAACACTATTAATACTCCATATGACATTTCTGTTTCACATTCATTTACGATTATCATATACAAATTGAATACTTTTTGAATTCATGCATATAGATATATCATCCATATCTATCATAAACGGCATGTTTAACTTTCTTACTGGGTTTCTTTTTTCTGTTTAACTTTCTCAGTCTCTTTCTCTTGCTCCTTTAAGAGATACTGTTCATTGCTTGCCTTGATTACTTGTCCAATTTTTTCGGCTTCCTAAAATAATTTTGAAAGTTCAAAAAATGTAGGATTTTTAGTGTCCATTTAAAAAAACTGCTATCACTTGACAGTTGTAAATTATATTTTAAGAAAATAATATGATATTACAGCATTCATGACAACAGTTTTTAAGTGTTACTTGAAACATTGTTTTGATAAAAATATAAAACGCTATGTGAAATTCCAAACATCACTACCAAGGATTCATAATCAACAAACCTTCTGTCGCCTCCTTTCTATTTCCAGAAGTGCTTTCTTCGAAGGCATACGTGGTTTCTCTAATGTTGTCTCATTGGATTTTTTAATAGCTTTCTGTAAAGAAAAGAAATATTTTTCAAATCATGTTATCCACTTGGTGTCTGCCCTATGCCAACATGGCTACCTTACATTCCATACAATAGCCCTTTGTGGTTTTCCATACAAACTTCACCAAATACTAAATGACACATTTAATGAATTCCCATTTGCAAACCCATAAAACTGCTTCTCTTCCAGACAAACAGAGTGACCGTGCACTAACTTTACAGCACACACCAATAGTCTAGATGTGACATTCTTTATGTGGGTCATCTTTGTTTCATGAATTTCAAGGTCATTATTTATTCATTGATGAGAATCTATATGTTACCCGTGTTCTGGTGTTGGGCCTTTTTTTCGGATCTCTCTCCTGTAACCATTCATCAAAAGAATGAAATCTGTGAATCTAAAAAAAAAAGAGAAATATTTATTATTCAAATTCTGCTAAATAATTTTCCCTATATGATAAAAGCAAAGGCTTCAACCTAATATTTCAACAGATACAAAAATTGTTATGTTTAACATAAATATCAGCTAGTTTTAAACCCACCTCTTCCTGAGTTAGTTGTACATCTTCCTCTTCATAAGCCTTCCTTTTCTGTAAAGAGTAGAGTGAATATTCACCTTAATAAACATGAAATGATTTCCAGAGGATTATCAATATATCATTAAATCTCACCATATAAATAATTCAAGTATTCTACGACAATCGTTTCCCACACAGCCAACCAATTTTATAATCAAAATGTACAATAAGTATTAATTTGAGAGAGCTTTCATGAATTTCTAGAAGCATTTTATAAACACTAAATATGGATTGTCATACAATCTATAAATATTATGTTACCTCAAACAAGTAAGTGTAAAACTGTTCTTCTTCTTCATCTTCTTTTGTCCATTGATAATACTGACGCTTCTTTTTATTCATAAATCCTGAAACATACACAGTACCCATAAACACAGTTAAACATAGTTAAAATTGTAGATGTGCAAACTTACTTGTTTATTTTAACACAAAGAAAAGAACTGGGACGTGTAGCAAAGTCATTACTGGCAAAAAAAGTCTGATTTCAAAATATTTTCATTTCAGTAAAATGAAAATTAACACACTTGCTAATACAATATTCAATTTTACTTACTCCTTTGCATTACTTTTTCTTCAAGAGTTTCAAAAAACAGCTCCATCTACAATATAAAAATTAAATTTTCAAAGTTGAGATGTATAAAAATTGTATTACATTACTACACACCTGATTGTAATCCACATAAATTGTTACTACAGCAAAGATGCAATCCCCTTCAATTCCTCAATTCGAACAAATGTTCTTCACTCAATCTTCTACTTTTAGAGAAATGTGTGTACGACAAAGCTATTATTTGCGATGTACAATTAAATCTGATCTAGCTTCCATCCCAGCATGCTGTCTGACTACAATTAACTCACCACATCCATTCCAATCCAACCCCTCTCTAATATCCCACCCACAAACACTGTAATCAAGGTAAGACTGTACAATTACCCTGTAGAGAGTTAGTGCGCTAATCTAATCCTAGTCAAGCAGCCTGCTCCATGGTACATCTCTGTATGCTAATTAGTCAATATGTTTAACTTTTGCATTTAGTCCATACTTATATTGAAGTTCATCATTTTCAGCAAAAATTTCAAGAACCAAAATTGCTTTTGGTTTTGGGAATTTTCTTTTCTTTAAATCTTTTTCAAGGTATTAATACATTAATTCTTGGTATTATTAACAACACATTGTTCTTGGACATATTATTAATCATTTTTGTGCAAATTTATTGAGTAATTACCATAAATATTTGAAAATCCCCATTTACATCTCGATTTTTCTTGTTAGTTTTAAGGCCCAAACTGCCTCGATCCATCCCCCACCCCTCTCCTTCCCAGAGAATGGGTTAATTAAATTGTCTTTCTAAATTAATGCCAGGATTAGTGTGTTGTTCAGGCAAATTAAAATAATGAGTCATGTCAGTGATTACCTGCATAATATACTTACAAAATATGATGACAAAAAATCCTCCTCCTCTTCAAAACTGTCCTCATGTTCACTGTGGCATCCTCCACAATGTTGACAGTGATCTGATGAGGAAATTATTATTAAATCCTTAGTTAGGAAATTTAAATAGGCTGTTCAAAATATTACTGGAAAGAAAATTAACTTACAAACTTTATTAATAGCATCTGTTTATTCATTTCTTTAGTTACTAATTAATGACCACTACAAACAGTACTATCAACCTGACATTAAAAAAAAAACAAAAACAACAACAAATTTTGCACAGTACTTATTTCTTTATCAATCTGACAAAAATATAGAATCAAAACAAAAATGGAATTAATAAGAATTAATAAGATGCTCTGAGAAAATCTTATACAATTCTCACTTAATTTGAAAATTAAGACCAAATTCAATTGTTGTCTAATATGAAGTGAATGCATTACTAAACCTACGATGATTAGCTGTGGAAAGTTTTTCATATGCCCAGCTCAGTTCTTGGAACTTTTTAGTGGCCTCTTCATCATCTGGATTCTGTTTCATTTGAAGCAAAAAAAAATGTTGCAAGACATCAATCAACAAGCATAAAAATATCTGTGTTACTTCCCATGTTATGCATCAAATATGACAAGAAAAACAAGGCCAATTGTAATGTATGAGACCTTTAAGTTTCGAAATCCAGTCTGGTTGTGAATTATAAATACTCAATCAAGAAGAAGCCTGTGTCATGCCTGAAGAGCAGGCAAAATAACAGACACTTCTTAGGCTGGGTTCCCACAGATTTAGATCGATCCATCTGGATCGACCTAACTCCCAGGGGGTTCACGCTAAATTGCTGTCAGCTTCCAGGAGCCGAAGGCGCACAAAATTTAATTACCCCCTTACAGCTTTTAGTAGGCGGGACAGATATTTAAGCCGGTTAAGCTGACAGATATCTAGTGAGACTCCCCAGGGAGATAGATCGATCTAAATATCTATGGGAATGGTCTCTTAAACAGACACTTCTTTCAATTAACTTGATGGTCTCCCAGGAAATAATAGAGAGTTTCCGTTGCCGGTGAGATACGCCGGCTAGATTAATACGTCATCGGTATGTGCGCACTTGTGACGTTCACCGCATTCATATACCGTCGTCCAATCTAGTCTGCGGAATACAAGCGCTCCTATCTAGCCAGTGCGGAAGATTATTGAAACTAGTTATTAAAGGTTATGTTTGCTCATTTATATGCCTTATATAATTTTTTACAATAGTTCAAGTGTACGTTCATGCAAGTTTCGACTTTTTAAGCGAGAGGAGTCGCTAGTTTTGGTTTATCAGGCACGTAGTCGGGGGTTGATCTTACTAACCGCCATATTTGTCGTAAAAAATTGAATTTTTGGGTAATATATGTCTCCTTTTTCATAAAAAAAGAATCTCCACCTTGGAAATAGATGGCTAAGGGGCCGTATATTGTTAATTATATTGGAATGAGCGGGGCGGGAAGCGCCAGCATTCTGGAACTTTACCGGAACGAGAAAAGAGTAGCGCGTTACTAGATACATTTGCACATACGTAACAATCTAGCCGTCGTATCCCAACTGCACCGGAAACTCTCTATTGATACACAACAGGGACAGCTGCTAGGGTATCCATCATTAGTTCAAAGGGGTATCATTTATCATCAGGACATTAGAGTCCAAAGACCAAAGACTGACTACTTAATTTTGTAAAATCAAGCACCAAAGAGACACTCCATGACGACCTTATTAAGTGACACATGGCCATCGTTATTTCCAAAAGAGATATGTGGACTCTTAGTTAATGTTTTATGCCATGTCTTGTGTACTAGATGTTTGAACAAGTATTTACATATATATATATATATGTTGCATATCTTACACTACTCAGTCACCATACTTTCCATTTCTCATCTAGTTCAAAGCCTGTTGTAAAAGCTTTATATAATTTGTATATTTGTATTGTTTAAAAATGTGCAAAAATAGCCAGACAAGAAAAAAAAAAACAATTATCATAATTATAACTATATCATATCAAGATTTTGCTTTAGTCTTTGCAGTTTTTGACTTAATCAATAGCAAGTACATGAATCATCTGATTTTCCTAATTAGTTATATCATATTTTCTTCTGCATAGGGTGACATCAGGTTGGTTATCCTAGTCTTTTATGTACCTTATCTGGGTGATACTGCAATGCCAGCTTTTTATAAGCCTGTTTGATTTCCACTGCAAAAAAGCAACAAAAAAAAATCAATAATCAATATTAATAATAGTTCATGTCAAATTAAAAAAACAAACAAACTTAAACTGCATTGACAATTATTTGTTTGTATATTCATTATTTATTTTTGCCATGATTACTTTTCAGGTAGTTCCCATAATTAAATTGATATCTTCTATATTTGACAACACCTTTTTTAAATGGGTCTTACTGAATTGCACAATATATCATCATTCAATCAAATGAGGGGATAGGGCACTTTAGAGAGAAAACCGCTCTTTAAGACTAGGTTCCCACAGATTTAGATCAATCCATCTGAATCTACCCAACTCCCTGAGGGTTCAAGCTACTTTACTGTTAGCTTCCGGGAGCCAAGCGCGCATAAAAGTTAATTACCCCCTTACAGCTTTTAGTAGGCAGGACAGACATTTAAGCCAGTTAGCTGACAGCAATCTAGTGAGACTCCCCAGGGGGATAGATCAATCTAAATATCTGTGGGAATGCAGTCTTAAATTGTTGGCTGCAGACAGCCAGAGTTAAAACATCTGTGATCAGTTTACAAAGTGTCCTACTGTGTAATACAAGATCAAAGACAAGTGGATGAAAGAGCAGGAAGAGCCATGCAGCAAATGCTTTTGTGACAATTTTGATGACCAGAACTAAGAAACGAGATCTATATCAAACAAATGCTGTAATTCCCCTCCCATTTACTGTTGAACTATTCTGTTTGTCCCATTGTTTTGAAGTTTAAAATACATAAACAAGAGAGAGAGAGAGAGAGAGAGAGGAGTGGGGAGGAAAGACGAATGCCAAGCAGGTGATGCCAGGCCATTGTATCCATTTTAGCCAAGTCCACTTTTTCAAAAAGAGAACACCCCTTTTGTCTTGAAATTGCTGGCTACGGGCCTGTTCCATATACTTTTACTGCACTTACTGAGCGTGCGAGCTAAAACGTGGTGGTAAATGAATATTGAACATTAAAAGAGTACTGGAACTTAGTTATTTGGAGAATGCTACGCCACACCAGTAACTTGAATGACTCGCACAAGAGTTCAGAAGAGTCAGAGGGCCCAGTGAGACAACATCTAAAATCTGCCATAATTATTTTGTAAAGAAAGAATTCCTGCATGCTGTCGTCATTTGAATGACCGAAAATAGTAATAATTACTGTCCTGCTGATTAATTCACCTAAACTTGCTGTGTCGTCCAACTCTAATATATCCAGGCACCGCGATCGCTCACTTCCAACTGCCGCCATCGTGCACTTGTCATGTGACCTACTTTCGGAAGGATATGCCGCTAGAGGGCGCCTAAGAATACTTACAGTGAGTAGCAGTGAGTAGGTCAAGTCGCTCCTGTTCGGTTGAACTTACGCGTGCATTTGACCTATTCAATATAAGGATGAAATCGGTCGAGCTTCATAAATAGTTCATATTTACAGTAAAGTTGCAGTATGGTGCCGTAGAGTGATAAGGCCAGCATAACTCAAAGTTTTTTTTTAATTTGAACACTGTAGACCAGTGCTGCCAGTGCTGTTTTTTTATGATTATCACCGACTCAAAGACAACAAGGTGTTTTATGATCCGCAAAGCTGTTTTTTTTTTCATGACAATGACTTCAATGAGAAAGACAAGGGTTGTGTTACATCATGTTGAATACTTAATTTTTGCTACTATAATTATTTTACTTTAGTATTAATGAAAAGAATGAAATGATAAGCACTCAATTAAGTGATGTACCTTATCTTAAAGAGAAAAAAAACTAAAACAACATAGCATTCATTCCATTGAAACTATTGATCTATGTAAATCAAACTCCGCATGGACTCTTGCTAAATGCAATCAGTTTAACATGTCATCAGTGGTACTGCCCACTCTAAGTGCGTCAAGTAAAGTGGAGTTACAGTTGATATCATATTTTCTGTCTTTATTCTTCTGATTATCAATGAAAAGTTGGTGAAACACAACATTTCAAAAAAGAATGACACAAAAAATTACCATATCTGATAAAAGTTCATGGGTGAAGGTTATAAAAACTAATAATCCTGAAATCATAGATCAACAAACGCATTGAGACCATATGAAAAAAATGTTCAAAATAAAGAAATTCCTGAAAGCAGAGATGACCCTAAAATCTTTCACCCATGGTTAAAGCATCTCTGACTTATTTTGAACAAAAAGAATATACTGTATTAACAATATAAAACTAGGAAATTACTGTATCAGCCACAATCAGTAGCACATTAAACAAATGTGTCTTGCAGATGGCAAAACGTTTTCAAAATGCTTAAGTGCAATTTTTTTTCAATAAATCCTGCAGAATATTCCACTGTCTTTCAGAAAAGTTTTGATTTGCTGCCTTTCATATTTTGGTATAAGATGAAACAAGTAGCAAAAATCAGTCCACAACTATAGCCTGCAAGGGTCCCTATCACACAGCTAATTGGCCAGACCTATAAAATAAAAAAAATAAATTGATTTTCTGTGCAGAAAGTATCAAGAATATCATCAAGAATATCATCACCTTATCTTAAAGAGAAAAAGACGAAAACAACACAGTACTCATTCCATTGAAACTACTGATCTAGGTAAATCAATCAATCTCCGCACAGACTCTTGCTAAATGCAATCAGTTTAACAGCTTAACACCAAGCAATTAGTAGAATACAGAAAAGCTGGTGATTAAACAGTGCCTTTCGAAACAAGAGGCTTGTTTACCTGTTAAACTGATTGGATTTTTTTAGACTCTCTGCCCAGCTGGATCGATCTATATAGACCGATAGTTTCAACTGATATTAGATAAAAAATTCTAAAACTACCTGCCAAGGCCTGTCCCAGTCTAAAGGAATTGGGAAAGCTCCCAGCCATGCACCCAATACACTGCATACACCACTGGCCAATATACTGATTTCTAAAGCACTGGATGGACTGGAAAAAATCCTTTGATAAATATAAAAAAGATATAACAGGTTTTTAATTTTAGTTTACCCCTTTTACAGATCCAATGATATTCTGCTGCTGTCTACAGTACTTAAATCTGAATGTGTCTAGTTATACTTTTTATACAATAATTCATTGAGTTCTTCAAAGTAAAATAAAAAGCATACATGTAATTTTAGATGCATTGTTCTGCCAAAACAAAATTCATGTCTTATTATTCATTTGGTCAAATTGTTCTAACAGATCATACTGTTCAACAACTTACCATATGAATTAAAAACATAAATAAGTAATAGACCAACAGTTGTGTTATTTCAGAAATAAGATGTATTCTTCTTGAACTTTGCCGGGAAATAAGTCACCTTGTTTTAAAGAAAAGTCTTGTCCATTCTTCTTTTCTTATCCCCAGCACCATCAGTCCTGGTAAAGCAGCTGTGGTTGCCAACAACATTGCTAAATGGAAAGTTTCTGATACAGAACTGAAAAGGGAAATTAAGCATTCAACAAGTTATTTGATGTAATTTGTTAGTGTCACAACAGTATTTCACAAATTTCTACTGGCACATTCTCTCATGACATGAGTAAAAATACTTATTTTTCTTATTTAATGATTTATTATTTAACGATTTTTTGGTGTTTTCACAAGAAACTTCCAACCCATTCAAATGTAATGATTGCTGATGTCATTTAAGGGCTGAATATCAAAATATCAGCAAGTAAATTACACACCTAATTTATATTATGAAAAACAACAGCATTGGTCAAAACCACCATATACATGTCACTGCAGGGCTTGACATAAACTATTTACAGGTACTTGCTCTGAGGGCCAAAAAAGGTTTGCAAATCTACTTGCAACACTACAAAATCAACATCCCTATGCCTAGTAGATTTGAATACAGGGAAAACACTGAATTTCTGTCGGGCGAGTGATCCATCAGAAAGTCACTTGCGTTTTCAGGCAAGTATGACATAAATTCTAGTTGTCCGACAGCAGAGAAGTAACACTAATAGGTACGCCAAGTCGCCAACCCTGAACTGATTTTAGAAAAACAGAAAAAAAAAACACATCAAAGCAAAGACCTACACATATATAATTGTGGACAATAAAATCATTACGTAGGTAACTACTTTTACTATATTTTAAATATAATTAAAAATCTTCTCACTATAAACCAATGCATCCATTCCTCAATGACAGCTAGGTTCATTTTGCATTACCTGAATAGTGGAGCCCCATATAGCACAGCAATGGTATGAAAGACTAGGGAGGACCCGATCCAGCAAATTATTCCTTCCATTACATTACTTATCTGTAAATTTAAGACATTAATGAGTGGATCATATTTACACTTGATTCACCCTCTTACAAGCATCTTATAAAAAATAGATCGGATTTTAAAAAATCTCGTCAAAAGACACTACATAAAATGACATATAATATGAATAATTAGGTGTACAGAATTTCATATTTGGTTCTTCACAGAAAACACACCTTCCGAGGATGGACGTTGAAAAGTGACACCAGCATAAGGACTTGGATTATAACTGACACTATTATGTATATCTCAACGAACGTCAGTATGTTAAAGTTTGTGTATGTAAAATATGCAAACAAAATTATACACAAAACGTTTAGCACGTTAAGAAGTAGTGCAGGCCCTGTCGACGAGCTCTTTAAAGTGGTCCCCGCCATGTTGGTTCGAAATTCAAACTTGATTAATTCCGTGATATTTTCACACGTATTTAATCATTTAGTTTCATTTAGATATTAGTAAAATCAAATCATATTTATAAAGAATATTGATTGAATTATCTATAAAGAGGCGTTTACTAGCTTCTTATACATGTTTATGATTTGAGCAAATGATTATTAACATTAATATATGAAAGAGCGAAAACGTTGATATTAGGAACCAGTCAGAGATGTGCTGCAGTAGGTGTAAAAGGTCTAAGTATGTTTTCCAAAGTTTTGCACAGTATAAGGCAGTTTATAGAACAGGTATGATGCATTCACTACAAACAAGCAAATCTCTCTCTCTCTCTCTCTCTCTCTCTCTCTCTCGCACACACACACACACAGACACACACACACACACACACACACACACACACACACCTTCGTACTTTGTTGAGGTAATAATCCCCCCCCCCCCCCCCACACACACATAGTGACATACAGGCCATCTA